TGTTAACAGAACTATTAAATCTATTGAGTTGCTCTGTGAAAGGATAGAATGTGCGTTGAAAAGTAATTGAGAATTATATCTGGAGTATTTGTGCGAAACAGGAGCAACCGCCTGTTGCATTCGCCGTTGTTCAGCCACTATTTATTCCCACATCATTTAATTATACCTCAGCCAAGCCAAGTGCTACATGCCATCAATCTCAATCAATCAATTAACCAGCTAAACAAGCCATGCTCAGACATTCGTTCACTCTCAATTTCCCCATTGTGCTAATTACACTTAAACATGTCATTCCAAATTAAAGTTGAACATTTAAATGGAATTAGTAGCATCTAAATGAAACATCACACTGCTGCATTCATGTATTCATGATAGGCACAGCCAAACAGCAAATGCTTGTGGCTGTTTTTAATTTCAGGAGTTCAACCTTAAAAAAAATGAATATAGAGAAAATCCCATAATCTGCCGTATTTCAAAAAAATCTGGTATCTAATGTTCCTTGAGGGAAGCATTATATTTCAATAATTGTATGAGTAAGGGAGCAAAGTGGCTGGTTTCTAAGGTTAAACTATTCCCATTAAAGTTTGAGTAATGTTATTGACCTTTACCTGGGATGGATCACTTAAAGTAATGGGAAATTGTGGCACTGACAGAATTATGATGACAGAATAGCTTATGGTTATGAATAACGTCATGTTCCTCGAAATGCCTATCAATTTGTCAAATCACTAACATCCACGTGTTCAGTCGGAAACCTCAACACGGGCCCCAGAGCTTGTCACTGTCAGTCATTTTGTCTGAAACATTTCTCGACTCTGTCTTTACCACACTGCATGTGTCAGTCACTGATGGGAACCTCAGATTGCTGCTGCTGCTGCTGCTGCTCACTCACATCAAATCCACATCGGTACAGTATTTCACCACAACGCAAGATCTACTTTTTCTTTGTAAGTTTGACAAGTATCAGCAGCTCAGGAGGAAGTGAACAGGTCCAATCCAGCTGACATATTCAGCACATTGGACAGGTGGGGTGACAACAAATACAAACAAACAAATGATGCTGTTCTCAAGCAGGACAGGAATACAAAGTGAAACCACGCTTTTGATCAAGTCACAACAGCACACCGCTTTAAACATTGATATCTTTTTATTAAGACAAGTACTCTTCTTTTTTTTTTTTCTTTTGTAAAAATGTTGGTGTTAACCAATACAAAATATGCATGGCCATATGAGAAACATCCTGTTCACTACACAAAAGAAAAATGTTGCCTGGGTACAGAGAGAAATTTAAGATTCAACAACAAAAACAACCATCTGGGGGTAATAAACAACCAAAGCACCCCTCTCCCTCCCTCCCCAGGCTTTGATGACATGAGTTTCATCCAAATATCCAAGACATGTTACAGATCATTCATAAAACTTCATGTCACAGTAAATACGCCATCTTTTCATCTATGAAACTTTATGTATGACTGAATGCAAACAGATGCTTAACACATCCTAGAATTACTAATTAACCAATACTATATGAGCAAAGAAGTTTTCATGAACATTCGTTGACACTGACTGTACATAGTTTTTGTTTGCTTAACAAATCTAGTTTTCTGTCTTTGTGAACTAAGTCTATGCAAAATAAAACATTAACGTTTACTGTAACAGTGCACCATATTAAGAACACATAAACATGTACAACTGAGAAAAACATGTACACCTTGTGATTTTGTCACTTTTTGAGTAGCTGTGGTACTACAGTATATACTTGGGGCCTTAAATTTGCATTCTACCTGAGATGCAAAAAACACAACTATTAATACTCATGAACCTGAGAGAGTGAAAACAAACATACTCAATTAAAAAAAAAAATCAAAAATTGGATTAGAATGATGCCTCTGAAAATCTTTCAATGTTCCCCAGTTAAAAGCAGCTGTCACTTCATAACCATTTAAGATAAATAACAAATCCCAAAATAAAATTTGTCATTCACATTACTGTTTCCATGACACCAAAACTCCAATATCCACCAAAATATACTTTTATTGTTGCTTATTACAGCGTTTAGTACTGTATCCCTCTCTGGTAATACTAGCAAGCCTTGTCCGTTAAGATTTAATCCAAATAAAAAAACTAATGAAGTGAAGTAGAGAAAATGACTAATGCCAAATTGAAATTGTTTTGTGATCACTAATTTAGACAATAAATACTATGTCCTGGCATACGATATTCGAGTTACTGGAAGCTGCCTTACCACCCCAATAAACAAAAAATAAATATATTTTTTATAAAGATAAAACTCATTCCAGCTTATTTTTTTCTTTTTACTCCATATAGTATTTTTGATGGAAGTCAATGGTGCGTTAATATAGACACCGTGGATGAGTATTGGCCCTGTAAGTTAAAAAGAACAGAAACATACAAGATATACTGTGAGAGTATTCATGAGGATACTGTATGATACTAACCATATGCCTCAAAATCAAAGAAGGCACTAAATTATGTCCTTCAGTCTTTTCATTTAGAATGATACGTATCAAGAGGTGGGTTTAAGGCAGTGGTTATCCTTTTTCATAATACATGTACAGATTTTCTTGATTCAGGCAATACAATGAAATCACACACTAATTACCAAACAGGTTTTACTCTTCTAGTTTTCACAGAGTCAGAGGCATGAATGCGTCTCTTGTCTGCCAGCTTGGATGTTCAGATTTAAGCAAAAAGAAAAGAGGAAATATGTTACAGCAGACGGCTCCTCTGTGAGGGTTTTCAACTGCGGGATGACAGTAAGGAAATGATCCTTTCCAAACCAAGTCTAAAGCTCTACACAAATCTCTGATAACTTGTAAAGGCCAAGAGCTCTCACAAGTTTTCCAAACCTAAAGGTAAAATGTCCTTACAGATAGCAAGGTAATGTCACTGATTCATGTTTGCAATGACTGAACCTCTTTTTACTCAGGTTGAAACCTAACCCATGGCTGAAAAAAAATCTTATAGCATGAAAGATTCAACTGTGGATATATGCGGAAATACCTTGATACCTTACACATCATCTGAAAGGATATGTCATTGAAAGGTTGACACACTTGCCTCCATTTAACATAATGCAATCAAATAAAAGAGATGAACCATTGGAAAATAAAATAAACCAAAGTCCTTGTAACATTTCATGCTGTGTTATCTGATAAAAATAAATCATTTAGAGAGGAGCACTCTGCAAAGTGGACCCTCAGCCTTTGCTGTATACAAAGTCATTTTCATTGTATACATGGACATTGGAATAATTATTTTATTCAGTCAGGGTCGACCATGTGGGTGGTATTAAAATGTGAAAATAGAACCAGAAGCAAGCACAGCAGGCCGTACTAATATCTAGTAGGCTATATAGCACATTTAATCTTTATTTATTTTTTGATTCTATGATTAATGCAGCAGGACTGGTGTCTCTTACAGGCAACACAGAGTATCTGACCCTGCAGCCAAAATCATGTCTGCCAACAGACAAGACATTTTTTTGGCTCTAATTATTAGAGTAATGTTTTCTGCCATGTTTTTGGTCCACCCATCCCATGGATGAAAAACAATTTTGATGAAAATAGTCACTGAATGTAATCGAGATCAGGATTTTGAAGAAAAAAACATTTTGGGAAATATACTTTTTTGATAAGAGCAGGGAGAGGAGATTGATAACCACTGTCATGTCTGTAGGGTAATGATGCTAGCTTAGCTAAGCACAAAGACGAAACAGCTAGCCTAGCTCAATCCAAGCGCAACAAATCCACTTACGAGCTCCCCTAGAACTAATTTTATCTTGTTTATTAAACTTGTATAAAACCAAAGTTTCAAAATGACTAACAATTTGAAGTTTAGTTCAGTTTTATGGTGGGTTATTGCATTTTTATTTAGTATTGGAAGCTAAGCTAATTAGCTGTTGGCTGCAGTTTCATTGGCTGACTGCAACAGCCTATTGGAAACATTAGTGAATGTTATCAGCAAAAAAAAAAAATCCTGATGAATAAACATCTCTGATTTTCTCTATAGAAATTTTAATTCCATTTATGGTACATCACAGCTGTCAGAAGCATTTAGACTGTACTCCACAACACCCTAAACAAACGCTAAACTGACCTCACACCTAATTTTTCTTGAATCCAGCGAGGGACCGGTTGTACTTTGCCATTTTGTGTGAAATGATACTTAACAGCACTCCTACTTCACTGTCAGGAACAAATACATCCTAAAATAACCATGATTACTTACAACTGTTATATTAGTAATCAACACGGTGAACTTGAAGACCTTGTGTCCTCACTCTGACCCAGTGAGGAGAAACGTGTTGACACTGTCTTCTAGTTAATGAACTCTGGAGATTACTCAACAGAGAGAAGAAGGTGTGGATGAGCTGGCTCCTCAGATCTGGGTACATGAGCTAAACGCCAGCTGCAGCACACACAGACAAACACCAGGCCCATTTAATCTCCTCCGAAAGCCAAATGCAACAAAGGATCAGGTGGAGATACAAGGAGAGAAAATCCAATCCAACAAGCATGTGACAGGGAAAATAACCAACAAAATAAACCAAAGAAATAGAACAAGGCACAAAATTGTCTGTAAAATAATTGAACTGTACAGAACAGGCCCCGGCAGTCCAGGAAGGGTCGGATAGGAGACTCATCAACGCCTCTTATTACCACTTGGCCCCGGCAGTCCTACTTCCCACTTTTTCCTTCTTCTCCTCCTCTTTAAATCTCACCCTCTCTGCCCTCAAGCCGTCTCGTAACCAATCAGAGTTAGACATAATGCTCCTACAGCACCACCATCACCACCACCATCACCAGCAGCATTCCCACCCGTCTCTCCTGGCCCGTCCAGTTTAGATATAGTACTCCTTCTTCTCATCTGTGTTGTTGTGTCCCCCTTCCGCATTGATGATGGCCGTGTCCGCGTCGGCCGCATCGTCCGCCCCTTTGGCTTCATGCGTGAAGTAAGTTCCTGCAAAAGAGCGCAGACAAATTATCCACCACACCTCCTCCGCCTCCTCATCCTCATGTGCACTTCAATCCCATCTCGCTCCACTTGCAACAAAAAACACTTGAACTCTGAGATGTGTTCATGATCAAGTATGATTGCGCGGCCAGTGCTTTACCTTTGTGTCTGGCAAAGTATCGACCAAGAACAATGAGCGCACAGAGGATGGCAAACATCACCACGGCAACCACTCCTCCAATGACAGCATGGTCAATTTTCTGCGGTGCCCCCTCACCGGCTCTGGAGTCTGAAAACAGGACAATAACCGTAAATAATTTTATGATCAGAAAACCCTCTCAGCCAGTCATAGGGCTACAGTAGTAAAGAATCACACAGACATGGAGTTTACTCGAAGCTGTGGCCATTTCCATCTTTAGGCTGCAAAATAAAGTATTTCGTTTGTTCTAAATCCACCTGAGAGCACGTATATAAATTAACACATAGCTTTTTTGTTGTGTTGTAAAAATGAGTAAAAATTTACTTTTGTTATTTTACAAGTAACAATTCGAAGAATATTTATATGCCACAGTCTTTGTGCGAAGGTAAGCTAAGCTAATTAGCCAGTAACATGAACAGTTATAAACCAGACAAACATGTAGAAGGCAGCTCTGCCCGAGTCCCTTGAGGAAGTGGTGCTGAAAAATGTTTTAAGAAGGTTATTTCACCATGAAACAGTCGACACTGTCTGCAATTTCACTGAGAGTTCACACACTGTAAAATACATTGTGATTTAAGAGGCCATTTCTGGAAGTTATAGAGCTCAATCACCAGAAATAGACACGAGTTTGGAAATAAATTGGCACCTGGAGTCCCCAAGCAGAGAAATACGTGGCTGCCTCAGGTGTCAGAGAGTATCACTGTCTAGAATTTAGCCAGATTTATCAGAGCACCACAGAAGAACAGTAAAACAATTTTTTGAGGCTTTTAAATTTCCAGTCTCAGAATAGTTCGGAGGCATTCATCAATAGTCTATATCTGTGCACATTTGCACTGATGGAGAAGTGGCTGGTGAGGGAAGGGCTGCACTGTTCTTTGCTGCATGAGAGAGCAGCTCAATTTTCCATCACTCACTAGTCATGCTCCGAACTTGAATGATTTTGATAAAAGACGAGTGGAGAGTGCAGAATTTCTCAACATGGCAACGTAAGTGGAGTCGAGGAGCTTAGTGACACATTCACATCTCAACCTTTTGAACGACACCTTTTTTAAGTTGAATTCAATTATCAGAAGGACACGTTGGAAGTGGAATTGCGAGGAAACTAATTAACCAGGAAAGTTTTGTTTCGCTTGAGCACGCCATTAAAAATGGACTCGTCTGCACGGAGCGAGCCACGGCTGCACGCTGGTGTGTGTGGAGCAGAGACGTGTGAGGTTTGTTTACTGTAACGGCGATGTCAGATAGCACAGCCCAGTCCCGGCGGGGAGAGAACGGCTCATGCTCCATGCTAATGAACATACAGCCGCTAAATGGCCTGTGTGCAGTTCTGTCTCCTCCCATCCCTCTCAGCCTCCCCACACCTCCATGCCCTCACCTTGCTCACTGCTGTCTTCCTTTTGACACATCCACCAGGAAACATGCAGGGTCTCAGCCCCCTCCGCTCACCGAGGGAGAGTTTTATTTAGCGGGTAGAGAAATCTGGCCAGTAAGGACTGAGACTCTTTTCACAAAAATGTCAAAGAGAAACTAACAATCCCATAACACCTACAGTATCGACCGTTATGGTTGGTTGCATATCATGTTGCGTATATAGAGTTTACCACTTAACTGGAAAAGCCACAAAAACACGGTCTCATATTTAACATAGCACATGCAAGAAATGGAACAATTACAGTGCTACTGCATGAGTGCATTATATTGTAAGGAGATTATGACACATGTTACATAACAAATGAAATGCAAAGGTCTTGTGTTGTAACATGATTTTTAACATAATGGTCATGAGGTTATATAATATAATGCTTTCTGTATGAGGATGAGAGTGATAACAATGATGATGATATTCCAGGTTTTGTTATTGCGTTTGGGAGAGTTATTTAACAGAAAATCTGCATAACAATTTGAAGGTGTTCTGTTTCTGCACTGGTTGTGAAAATATTAACATCTGAAAACAATGTGCGGTTTAACAGCGGGGGAAATCGTCTGCTCTGCACAAATACTAACTTCACACATCCAATTAACACCATAATGTGCTATCTGAGCTCTTTGCTTAATGTTTGTTAAATAATGACATTCAACAACATCACTTTTCATATTCAGTATTTCATATATGTTGACATGACACCAGACAGGAGGAGTCTCCTGAAAATAATCTATTGATGGCATTATGGGAAAATATTTTTTTATACCCATATTAAGGTCAGGATGTGTCTGCTGCATCAGTTTGACAATTATTTAAAAGGTATCACATGACAAAGATGTTATACCCAGCTCATATAATAATAACTCATATCTAACTAATAATAAGTTCAGTTAAAATCAATATTGTTTGGGGAAAAACTGTTTGGAAAATATGACCCACCATTTTTCTGTAAGTAGACTTTGATAAAAATATATAAAAAAATATATTACTGTATATATTGATACAGTGCTTTTATCCAAAATGCTTTAGTGTCCTTCATCAATTCAGACACACACACACACACACACACACACACAGCAGATTACTGTAAAATCTGAGCCATCACAGGATCCCAACATTGACAAAGTGGTTTAGTTTGACAGATGATAAAGAGCAGTAGTATATATTTTATAGATCTGAAAATCATTTTGCTGAACCAGGCTGGTTTGAAAACAGAGCTTCTAACAAACAAAGGGATAGTTCACCACAATAAAATAATGTCATTATTATGCTGTCATATATAAAAACCCAGATATATAACAGAGCCAGTTGATCGCCAGATTCAAGATACTGAACTGAAAATTCAGGATATTGTTTTTTAAAGAAAGCCAGTGATAGGTCCACTGAAGCCGTATAACAGTAAAGGAGCCGGATTGTAAAATACAGTCCCCTGGTTCGGTTGAATCAGTGCCTCCATGAGCAGTTCTCCTGGACCTTGAATTTGAAACACGTATTTTGTCCACTCACTGTATTTGGGTGACAGAGGGAAAAGGAAGTTTTAGGCTCCAGAGGTGCAGATGCGTATCTGACCATGATCTCCTTCCTCAACAAGAGCAGGTTTTATTCACCAAATGTCATGTTTCCATTACCATCATTCCTCCCTCTTCCTGTGTTTAATTAGTTTGTCATTCGATGCTCTGACACATCCAGGGATCAAGAGTGTGATTCCCTGTGGCTGTTCATGTTCAATACTCAATACCTATGCATTCATAACACTACCAGGGGCTTAGAATTGAGAGAGCTTCCAAATGACAGACAGTGTTATTACTCTGGCCTTTGTGGCCTCACACTTGAAATAAGTAGAATTTGATTATGTCTGTAATGTAGCCAGTGTCCATACCGCCAGCGCAGCACGGTTCACGGGTCGATCGGGGAGTGCTGACATGCCCACACTGGCGTCCTGACAGGATGTGCACAGCCGTGGGGATTTAAGGGGGAATAAAGAGGATTTGCAACTGATGCTCATGTCTGCGCGGTGGTGGAAGCTGCTCCACTGAACTCCCAGTGTCACATGCTTTACAGTCGCACCTTTCTACCTCTGTACTGGAATGACTAATTGCCACTCTGGCCAGTAACGGAGCGTCCTGTCAGACTTATCTGTCAGTGCCGAGATCTGAGCTGGGAGCTTGTCACCAGACTGATTACACCGAACATAATTTTTTCAGAACTTTTTTCTTTTAATAGTTTTTCTGTTCACAGAACGAGGCCCATCACGAACATGTGCGCCCATCCCACACACACAAACACATTGCAATTTATAGACGTAATTACATGGACATAATTGAAACAATGACTCTCTTGCATTGATAGAGCAAAGCCTTCACATGCACTGAATAGCCTCTCACAGTTACCCATTCATAGACAGTAGCAGGACCATGGGGCTGAAGAATTAACTTAAGGAGCATCTTGCAGCATTGAACTGCTGACATCCGTGGCGTTTGTATTTGTTGTCGTTTGGAAAGAAGGAAATGAATGTAATGAGATGAGCACACATGGGCAATCTCTACCCAATGATTTTTCTTATTGCCATTGTAGAAGACAATCAACACAGCACAATATTGTCCTTGGTTGAATTTCAATGCCACTGCACGGCCACTAAATAGATTCTCAGAGTCCTTTGTAACAACCAAATAATACAAACACAACTGTGACATTTAACAGAGGTGCTGTTATACAAGCGAAGGTCTGACTAACTAATAATTTGGAAAATGAATGGAAATTGTGGAGTGAATTTGAACTGGGCGACTATTTATTGTGTCTTTTGAGATTTGCAAATTTCTGTGTACAAAGGCAGCTCGCACCCATCTCCACTTCACACTCCCTCTTCAACTTGTTTTTCCCCCTAAGTGGAGATCAGGGCGAGGAACAAGGTTTACAAAATAATAGAAATCCCTGCTCTGCTCCTACAGTCGCCTTAAGTAAGACGCCGCAGAAGTACACCTTATCTGCAGAGAATGAGTCTGACACAAATTGAGTTCATTCACACATAACATTGAATCTTCAAACCCATAATGTGATAAGTAGAGCTCTCATTACCATTTACAACTGCTCGATTAAAAAAAAATAAAAAATTCTGCACTAAAAAACTCTTTTAACTTCAGGGTGGGTTGGCATTGCTAACTTATTCCCTTGAGACTAATTAAAATGGACCATTCCAATATTTTCTTTCTTTAATGACCGTTTAGAAGAAAGAAAAAACTGCAGGTCAGAGAAATCTAAAAATTACGTTACTGAATCGGCGTAAACAAATGTGAGGAAAACAGTAATTAGCATTTCTAAATGATTCTTTAATACTTCCAATGAAATACTTCAAAGACAAATGATACTTGTGAGAGTTAAAACATTGCCGGTGGATGTTTATTGACTAATTATGTTGAATACTAAATGCGCTTGGAGCAGTCTTTGTTGAAGTCAATAGTGTACATGGAGTTGATGCGCGAATCCCAAGACTTAACAGCAGTGGAAACCTGCCAACACCTAACATATACCAGAGCGGAAGGAGGAAAACAGCAAACAGAACATGTATGAAAACCTGCCAGAGATGGATTCCTAAAACACCATCTGATGCTAAATCACACGATTTAACTCACACTAGGCAAAGAAATCCCACGTTTGTCAGAACAAAGGCGTCAAAATAACCCTGAGTGATGTATGTGCACCGCATGTTAAAGGCATAAGGATGGGCAAATCCCTGACAGCTTCATCAAAGCAAGCAATAAAAAACTTAATTATGGTTGGTAGTATTATAAAGTCTGATGGGTGCAGTATGTAGGCCTGACTCGGGTTCATGTGTAGTGTGATGTTTGCTTGCGAAGCCATTATTGGTTGTTATTTTACACCGAAGTGCGATCCATAAACCAGAATAATGTTGAGCTCAGAGAACTGTAGTCTCTCTCTCTAGTTTTGATGACCACTCAACGCTCTCTACAGTACAAGTTTGCTATTCACCCATACACATACATACAGTGCATCTATGTGCAGCACTTCATCACACATCAGGCAATTTGGGGTTTGAAATCCTGCCCAAGGACACTTCAGCAATATTAAACTGTTATGTAATTCTGTATTGTACATGGTTTTTTGTTTACAGTAACATATAATTCTTGATAGGTAATTGTTGTTTTTGTGTTTTTTGTATGAAGAGAGCTGTGATTTACTCTTATTTTTGACTGATTTGCACTTTAAAGATTAAATTAACTTGAAAATCATAGCACAGAGATCATTATTTAAGAATCTGCAGGTATTAATTTCAGGTTACAAAACAACCAAATACAACACAAACTGTAAAAATGAGGAGAAAAATAGGAGACAGGATTTTTATAAGTGACAGGGACAGTGCAAATTTTCGCCCATAACTTTAGTTTATTTAGCTGAGGTTCAAACACCAGTTAACCTTGGATTGTTGATCTATGATTCTTTTCATTTAAGTCTACAACATTATTCCTTGTTCCATGTCTTTTACTCTGGCTCTTCTCAAAAAGTCGGGGGAGGGGGGTTACTGAAGGCTTAGCTGGGATATGATGTCCCTACATTGCATTGAATTGGATCATCTCTGAGCATCTGACGAGCTGGAGCATTATTGCCACAGACTCCCTTTATTCCTCCAGCGCTGGGGATTCTGGGTAAACTCGACCCTCTGCCCAAAAGAAATACAACCACTGACAAAGAACTTGTGCGGTGTGATTTTTTTCCTGTGGTGCTGTAAGCATCTACTGTCCATCTTCAGCACTTATATTTCTCAGATGTCTGCGTGTTTGGATCACGCTGAGAGACGGACACATTTCTGCCAATTTTTTCTTGATGCAAGATGTCAAATAAGAGCTTTTCCTTTAGTAAATATTGGTAATTAATTATTTTACACATCCTTTACTTTCCTACTGAATTCTAGGAACCTTTCATCATGATTTCCTTCAAATTTGCTGCCATTTAGAAGTAAATAACACATTCATATAAAGATCGATTTATTAAAAAGGGAAATACAGAAAGTGTGCAATTATGTTTTATGTAAGTGAAAAAAAGTCCATACATTGACATCAGTATCCATTGGCTAAAAAGCTGAATATCTGCTAATTTGGGCATGTGGAGAAAAAAAAGACATTAAACTTTCAAAAACAAGAAAGAAATGACTTATCCGCAGGCAGGCAGACTCACACACTCACGCACGCACGCACACACGCACACACACACACACACACACGCACACACACACACACCATTAAGGCATTTAGGCAATTGGACCTTCAACTGGCACTTCTGTGTGCATGGGTAAATAGAGAACCTTGAAAGTTAAATTGTAAAATTTTTAACAAAACCTTATTTTTGGATCAATTATGAATCAAACAGAGAGTTAACCAAATTCATAAATCCTCTTTCATGTTTTCTTTCATACAGAGGGAAAATAGCAAGCGCAATGTGGATGTGCTGCTTGTGTGGATTAGCGAATGACCACAAGCTTAATGTGTCCATTCAGTAAATTCAGTAAACATGTCGTTTGAACGTGGAGCTAAATTCTACAAACAACAAAATCTAAAACAATCTATTTCATTGAATTCCCATTAGCCGACATGGCAGTCGCTAATCTTCCCACGGTCTACATATAAAAATTTGATACAATAATAAAAGCAAGGTACAAACAACAAACACACATGCACAACAGATTGAACAAAGCATCTGATCTTGATACCGCACATCCATAAATAATATCAGGAAATTATTTATTACAAGATATAAAACTAATAATAATAAAACTAAATCAATGAGTGTGGCAGATGAATGACAACTAATAATTAAATACAGTACAACTAAACACATAAATTACAATCAGTTAGTTGGTCAAATAATGATGTTGTTTTTGTGATGAATGTAAATGTAAATCTACCTTTAAAATTAGGTACACCCACACACACACACACACACACACACACACACACACACACACACACACACACATATATATGTAGAATCAGTTCAGTGACCTCTGATTACAGCAGAAAATCACAGCATGGTGGTGGCAGCCTATTCACACTTTGGTTATAGTTGATGAATAAGAAGTCACACTGTACACTTCCTTACTGGCGAGGGGAAAATGCTATACTGTGCTGTTATGCTGATTAAGGTAGCGCAAAGCAATCTACCGCAAGCCAGCTTAGCATTGCCCCTGTGACAGGGTATTTAGAAGAGTACTGAACTGCAAGAAAGCTCAATTACATCCTCCCAGCATGTACTGCATAAATCATGGTAAATCCTCTTTCAAGCCTGTCTTTCGGAAATTACTGGAATGTTACAGCAGAAAACACAGAGGCGGCTGCATCAGTGTTATTCCGAGGAGAGGAGCTTAGGATGGAAATGCAGAGTAATGCACAGCTCTGCAAAAGCAACTTCCTGTTTGACTGGGCCACACCCAGAGAGAGGGAGAGGGAGAGGGAGAGGGAGAGAGAGAGAGAGAGAGAGAGAGAGAGAGAGGGAGAGAGAGAGAGAGAGACAGAGAGAGAGAGAGAGAGAGACAGAGAGAGAGAGAGAGAGAGAGACGATGCCATACTCCTGCAGCATGATCAAGGACATGCCACGGAAAACTCAGACAGGAAAAGAAGCAGGATTGAAGTCCATATCTCAAATGTGAAGAGGCAATTAAAAAAATGCAAAGGCGAGGTGTGCTGTCAGAGTGATCGCCCAGAAGAACTCACAAACAAGAGGACAGACAAAGCTATTTTTGACTCCTGACTCCATTTTTAATCTGAATAAAATACATAACAACACAAACAAATAGCCAATTGTTTGATGAAATAAATGTAGTAATAAATTGTATCTGAAAGCTGCCCTCATTACAATACCAGAACTCATGATGCAGTCTCACTTTGAGTTTCACACTTATTATGTGAATATTGCCACTCCATATTTTTATGAGTGCATGAATTGCAGAGCGGTCATGACAAAAGGGCCCAAACTGCCACATCTCCAAAGCAGCTATTGATAAACCGATCTATTCTTTAAGGATAGTTTTTGTATTGAAATGTCACATTCTGGCATATCCAAATGCCAACTCCCAAGGTTGCCTCGCCATCTGCGTAGCCTTAGTGGTGCTTTTGACATAATAGCAATTTTTTTAATGGTTAATATTAGAATAAAAAATTTGCCAGAGAGATGAATCAAAGTCTAGTAGTTCTTACAGAAAGTGTCAAAAGGTTACTTGGCTATAAACAGTGAATGAACCGCCTTTCATTTATTTCATATGTCTCTGAGAAAAATTGTTATTGATGTTTTTTTGGCCTCGCAAAGACGAAATGTGACTGGTATTTGTCGGAGAGATGCAAAGGGCATTATAATATGATGGATGGGCCGGTTGAGATATGGCTGCAGATGCTGATAAGATAGCAGGACAGCAAAGCGGAGGCTCTACATTTTCTCTGATCAAACATGTGCCTGGATAGGGCTATGACAGGTGTCTCTGACAGGCCTGCGTCGCCTGTCCTCAATGTCACCTATCAGCAGCACCATCTGATTAGAACTGACCATCCACAGACTGTCTTAGCCTCAGGTGCAACGCCTCTTTCTCCCCGAGCACCAAGTCATACATGCATGCAATCCCACACACACACACACACACACACAGGATTGCTGAGAGGGACAGTAGTGGGGGCATACAGTACCTTGCGTGTTGACTGGGTTGGTGGTGGGTGTGGGCATAGTAGTGGGAGCATCTAGATGAAAAGAGTAAAAAAAATTAAGAACATGTATAAGAAATAAAGGAATACAAGAGTAGAGGAATAGACAGAGGTCATTTAAGAGGCTGCACTATAAAATCATAACATGCACATGTTTTTGCTGCTGGTGAGTTAATTTTTCAGAGTCTACAGCTGCTTTCAGACATGCACAGAACTCTGCTGTCCCTCCGTATTTTCTCTGGAGGAGGTGCATGTGTGAACGCAAATATGTGAAGAGAAGCTCCTCAGTTTCTGCAGACTTTATCCGACTGGCTTCCCAGTATAAAGTCCGTAGAAATCAAGGAGAAGTCGATGTGTGAATACAGCAGGGGATCTCTGCTGGATTCACCATGTGCGAGTGGGGGAGATGTTTGATACTTCTGATGCACAACAGACACAAAAATGAAAAAAACAAACAAAAAGAAAACAAATATCAAGATGTCAAGAGAGTTTGTGGTGAAGCTGACACTTCCTGCTGCACCCGGCTGCTCCACCCCTCGCCTGAACAATGCGGAGGACTTGTTGATGTTGTGGACACATCTGTGCAGAGAACCTCTGGCTGCGTTGTGAATGTGTGAAAGACAAACTCAAGGCAAACTATCTGTTAACTAACCAAAGCCAACCCTCCGGATTTTACCCATAGTTCACGTCTAAGATTGGCTTAGGAGTCCTTGCTGGATGCTCTGTGGGGCTGCTTAAAACAATACTGATGTGCCCATCTGAACACTCAAACAAGTTTTGCTTGCTGTGATCATTCCTCCAGTTAATACTGTCCCTTAAGAGTTCCCTTCCTAAAGCAATTTCAATGTAAGTGATGGAGCTATAATGAGGCTTCAATAGTCTGAGTCATCGATCGAGTGGATGTCTTCCAAGGTTGATGTACTTTAGGGTACAAAAAATCTTTTTGTGTTAATATCACTCCACCGCAGCTCAGTACAGGAACTCCATCATGCAAACAATAATAGGAATTGGTAGAAATACTTTCTCTGGAAGCTATGCACATATTTTGAAGAAAATTTTAAAGATAAATGATATCCTGAATGCATCTCTTTAGGGTTGTTATAAAGAGGAGGAATGATTTCAGTCTGAATAAAAGTGATGGATGTCTAAATGTACACTGCTGCTACTGCTACTGCTACTGTTCTATAAAAACCACCATAGTCCTGACCATGAAGGTGTCATCCAAAAACACATATCGGAATAAACAAATATGTAAATCTCATGGTACAGCAGGAAAAGTTAGTGGATCAACAAATGAATTAGGATTAATAATCTTAATCATATGGGAATCTATATATTAGTTGTTAAAATATTTCTGTCAACACCTGGCAGAGCATCAATACACCCACCTTAAGCTAACATATCCCAAAATATCCAGAAAACTGGGGTTGTATCATATTTCATCACATTAAACTACTGTATTTCTTTTGTTGATATGTTTTCTAATAAACAATGAATATTAATGTGAATTCTGGATAGCTGTTGCTATTTTTCACAGTCTTCTCAATAATTAATATCAAACTAAAAATTTAACTATTCTGGTGGCCTCCCGCTGTAGCACAGCAGAGCTCCAGGCTGCATTGTCCACCCGCACTGCACTGATTAGATCTGTTGCTAACCCTCAAACAAAATCATCAGAAAGACAAAATGGAGGGCAATTCAGGTGTACCGTGGTACTGAGGAGGGCTGAAAGCTTCCTCGTCAGGGGTATATCTGCCTGGGTCTGGTGCAGAGGAGATAGCACAACCCCTTGCTGTGGGAGAGTCACAGCAGGGGAAATTAGCTGGCTGTCTCCATGCCTTTACTGTCTGCACTCCATCAAAAGAAAGCAGTGGGGGACCACACACTCCCAAACTAATGATAAAACATCAAGGACAGCATAATGTTGCCGCCGGGGATGGAGTGTATGGCGGAGGTGGTGTTGATGGAGGTAGGGGGGTATCAGGGTATCAGGAAGAGATTCTGCTCTGACAGTATTTGAAGAGGGGGGTGGGATAGATTTCTTTCCCTGTGACTGAAGGCAGTCTGATAGCTGAAATGTCAGTGTCTAGAAGAGGGAAATTGGCCATTCAGGGAAGAGGGTCTTCACAAAGGCCAGGATAGGATGTGGCACATATAATATCCAGCCGAACAAGAATTCTCCATGGGCAATTTCCAGGCTGGATGACTCTGGGCTCAGCATTATGAGGGCTGAAATATGAGTGTTTTTTGGAGGAGCCGTATTTTCAGGGAGAATTTGTATCAGTGAGGAATTTGATATGAGAAAATGTAACCATAAAGAGAAACAATGTAGGAGAAATTGTTTATCTTTGCTTGCTTAAACCTGCCTGTCAACAACAACAGGAAGATATTTTTTTTTCTACTTATTTCCCTTGCTCTAACGCTCCTTTTACCTGACATGCTGCATCGTATTTCTCAAAAACACAGGGTCGTTACAATTTCTTTATCCATTTCATTCTTACTGAGACAAAATAATCTTTAGATTTAGTGTCAATAGTTGTTTCTCATTTTGCTGCTCGTTTGTGAAAAACATTGTGATGACAGCCGTTCATGAGTCCTGTCCGCTCGCATTGTGTCTAAACCCTCATAAACCGACAAATTTCCTCTGGCTTGGGATTCTTTGACTTCTTGTCCATGGAAGATTTATGGGTCAAAAAGTCAACTGTGGCTGAACTGAGGTGGTAAAAGCCACATAGTTCTCCTGCCAACAGGCAGTATGTTTGAGTTATAGCAGCAGGTCACCTTTTTGAGAGAGACAGGCCTCTGTCTGGCCAACTCTCTACCGCAACTGACCACACACTGGCCAGGGGACACAATTCACAGCCTTCTGTAGACACACCCTTGCGGACAGCAGCGCAACAAGACTCTTTATCAGGCTTTTTCAAACCAGCCGCTCACAATACATGCACCACAATGGGAGTTGATTTGACGAGGATTTACATCGGCCTCACATCTGTCTGAGCTGTCGCACAGTGAAAGGTCATTCGTCTTTTTGAAAAATGAAGAGCCCTGAAGTGGACTGTGGCAGTGGGATGGACAGATGGAGAACTGATGGACAACTGTGCTACACTTTATTCAATTCAATTCAATTCAATTTTATTTATATAGCGCCAATTCATAATTTACATTATCTCAAGGCACTTTAGATTTAAAGGTCAAGACCTTAAAACAATATTAACGTAGAGAAACCCAACAGTTCCCACAATGAGCAAGCACAGGCGACTGTGGAGAGGAAAAACTCCCTCATTAACAGGGAGAAACCTCTGGCAGAACTAGGCTCAATGTGGGCGGTCATCTGCCTCGACCGGTTGGGGTGAGGAAAGAAAAGGAAGGGGGGAGGAAAGGAGAGATGGGTGGAAAGCGGGGGAGAGAAGAGAGAGATGAGGTGGAGAGAGAGAGACCAGTAACAAGTGGGCACCATCAGTATCAGGGCTGACTATAACAATAACAATGTAGTGATCTACA